TTTGTTTGTTTGTAGTAACTGTTAGTTTAAGTATTGCTTTGTTTGTTGTAGTAACTGTTAGGTTGAGTATTGATTTGTTTGTTTGTAGTAACTGTTAGTTTAAGTATTGATTTGTTTGTTTGTAGTAACTGTTAGTTTGAGTATTGATTTGTTTGTTTGTAGTAACTGTTAGTTTAAGTATTGATTTGTTTGTTTGTAGTAACTGTTAGTTTAATATTGCTTTGTTTGTTTGTAGTAACTGTTAGTTTAAGTATTGCTTTGTTTGTTTGTAGTAAACTGTTAGTTTAAGTATTGCTTTGTTTGTTTGTAGTAAATGTTAGTTTAAGTATTGCTTTGTTTGTTGTAGGAACTGTTAGTTTAAGTATTGCTTTGTTTGTTGTAGTAACTGTTAGTTTAAGTTTTGATTTGTTTGTTTGTAGTAACTGTTAGTTTGAGTATTGATTTGTTTGTTGTAGTAACTGTTAGTTTAAGTTTTGATTTGTTTGTTTGTAGTAACTGTTGCTTTGTAACATATACAATTTTGGACTTACCATAGATTCAATTATTAAATGATATGTATATGACAGTCTATATGTTAATACGTACGTATATGGCAATTTGTAATTCTACCAATCATTGTCATTGATTGTTTTTTTTGTGGGATTACGTACTTCCTTTGTGATATCTAAATTCCCAGGACGTTTACATTGTTAAAAAGACGTGACTCAAAAGTAGACTCAAGAGTCAGGTGTATATGAATACATGTACATATATTGTATTAAGGTATTCAATTATTATTATTATTATTATTATTATTGTTATTACTTGTTTAATAATTTTCGATTGTTGGAACGAATACCACGCATTACGGACAGTAGCGATGTTACGCCTACAAAGGCATGATACTGATCTGCACAGATGCTTAGCTACAAGTAATATAAGGGATTACCTAATGCTCATCATATGTTTGTTAAATTTAAAATTAATAAGTCTAAGCAATAAAAAAATGAAAAATATCTTTCATAGAGTTACAAAAATGATCACGCCCACTTTTGCCAAAACAGCCCAAAATTGTAACTCGATGTTCAAGTAATAGTTATTAGAATTTCGAGTTACTGAAATCATATAACGTTAAGCAAATTAACAAATCTATGTCAATAATAGTGGTACAATGCCAAGGGTTATGCATATACAATGAAAATGAATAGTAGTTGTGTTTTGAATCTTCTAACCAGAAATTTTCTGAAAATATTGAGAAATTAATGTCACATTGGCAAAGCTTCAAACAGTGTGCTACGTTTCGATTTTGTATTAGTGATATTCTTTTTTTTGTATTAAATATTTTTGCGCAATGTCATTTTCATTAGGGGTAGGGATTGGAGACCCTGTTTGGAGAAAAGTATTAGAAATTATTGCCAATAACAGTATGGAATAATCATTTCGTCACTTGCGGAGTACAGAGCAGTGTATTTTACACAATCTGACAATTATTGAAAAAAACCCGAAACACTTAAAAATGTTGAGTTC